CAAGGTTGTTTCAAATATTACTAATATATCATGAATAAGTAACTTCTGTTAATATTATTTCTATAGGTGTCCATTCATACAGGTTTTACAAGCTTTAACAAATTTTCACATCTGGTTATTTTCCCCATGCAGTATAAAACTATTTAAATCCTCCCGAAACACTAATTGCCTTTCTGATGCCACACTTCTTGGTCATAGATTGGTCTCTTGGGGCTATTAAAATAACATTTTCCTTCAAAATCTTAGAGATGAACAAATATAAATGGATGGAACCTTGTTATTTAATTAAGACTTGAAGTTATTTATAATTTGAAATATTTATCAAAAACAATTACATATGTTCCTTAAATAATTGTAAGTATGCTTAGTTTTTCGAAGATGTATAAGATAATTTATAAAAGTAATATTTTTGTCATTATTTTTAAAGTAATCTCTCTATACTCATCTCAAGTTGGATAAATACTTAATTTTACTTAATGAAATGATGAAAAAATTCTTAATAAAATGCTCCGCAGGGCGCAGCTTGATACGACCGCAGAGGTCAAACTCTGAACAGTTGGGGCAAGTATGGACATAACATTCTAGCTTGATACAGCTCTGAATTTGGATTGTGATTAAATATTTGACACAGCATAGGTTCCTGACACAGAATGAATGTGGTCTAAGAACTTAAAAATTTTAAATTAGACATTCACCTATTATGGTCCAATATCCAAAATCTAAATACATGGTTAGATTCAGCATATCAAAGAACCCCAAGAATTCAATTTTGGACCCTTTTGACCTCAATGTGGACAAAGTTGATAACGGGGCCCAAAAATCAAAATCTAAATACATGGTTAGATTCAGCATATCAAAGAACCCCATATATTCAATTTTTGTTGAAATCAAACAAAGTTTAATTTTGGACCCCGATTTGGACCAACTTGAAAACTGGGCCAATAATCAAAAATCTAAATACATGTTTAGATTCAGCATATCAAAGAACCCTAAAAATTCAATTTTTGTTAAAATCAAACTAAGTTTAATTTTGGACCCTTAAATTGGACCTTAATGTAGACCAATTTGAAAACGGAACCAAAAATTAAGAATCTAAATACACGGTTAGATTCGGCATATCAAAGAACCCCAATAATTCAATTTTTGATGAAATCAAACAAAGTTAAATTTTGGACCCTTTGGACCTCAATGTGGACCAATTTAAAAACGGGGCCCAAAATCCAAAAACTTAATACACGGTTAGATTCAGCATATTAAAGAACCCCAAGAATTCAAGAATAAACCCCATTGAAATTGATCAAGAAATAAGCAATTTATACGAAGTATCTTCTTTTGCTCAATACTGTGCAATTGAATATTTCTTGCTATTGCGCAATACTGTACAATTGACAATTTCTTGCTATTGCGCAATATTGTGCTATTGGATATTTCTTGCTATTGCGCAATACTGTGCAATTGAAGATTTCTTGCTATTGCGCAATACTGTGCAATTGAAGATTTCTTGCTATTGCGCAATACTGTGCAATTGAAGATTTCTTGCTATTGTGCAATACTGTGCAATTGAAAATTTCTTGCTATTGCACAATACTTATTATATAATAATTTACACATCCTGTTTGGTGTGTATCTCCTACCATATCATTATTATTTGCTTTTAAATATAAATCAGAAATAACCAACTTAAAATGGAAAATTTTAAAAGAAAAAAAAAAGGAAAAAAAGAAAGAAAAAAAATCCCCCCCAAAATTTTTTGAACCCCCTTATGATTCATCACCCCCAAACTCAATCCCAGCCTTCCCTTTGTGGTATGGTACCTTGCAGTACAATTTCAGAGAGATCAATACACTTGAACACAAGTTATTGTCTGGAAACTAGAAAAATGTTTTTTTTTGGCCCCTTTTTGGCCCCCAATTCCTAAACGTTTCGGGCAATTACCCCCAAACTCAATTCCAGCTTTCCCTTTGTGATATGGAACCTTGTAGTACAATTTCAGAAATATCCAAACACTTACACACAAGTTATTGTCATGAAACTAGAAAAATGCTTGTTTTTTGCCCCTTTTTTGGCCCCTAATTCATAAAATTTTGAGGCAATTACCCCCAAAATCAATTACAGCCTTCCCTTTGTGATATGGAACCTTGTGGTACAATGTCAGAGAGATTCCATACACTTACACACAAGTTATTGTCTGGAAGTTACAAAAATGCTTATTTTTGGCCCCTTTTTGGCCCCTAATTCCTTAACTGTTGGTACCATAACCCCCAAAATCAATCCCAACCTTCCTTTCGTGGTATTGAACCTTATGGTGAAATTTCATGGAGATCCATTCACTTAAACTAAAGTTAGAGTGCAAAAACCAATGTGTCTTCGGACGACGCCAGACGACGACGCCGCCAACGTCATACCAATATACGACCAAAAAATTTTTAATTTTTGCGGTCGTATAAAAACTACATTTAGTCCACTTTTGACATTTAAAATAACTATTGAGTTTATATCAAATAATTTTAAAAAACAAAAAATACCTATTAATATAAGTAACTAAATAAAATAACTCGTTTAGTATCGCCCCCTGACTGTTGTTTGCGTCTTGATAACTTTTATGTAGCATATTATATAATACAAACTATATTTAAATCATATCATCTAATTATAAAATTTGAGAATTTTTTTTATTATAAAAAAAGAAATGATTATTTTAAAAATATAATAATTGTATATTTTTTGTTAAATGACTTTCACTTTTTGTGGAGACTTGAGATTTCTTTAAAAGCATTACACAGTACTGTTGAAGAATTTCTAATCTATTCTATAGTTTTGTAAAATTTCAGGCAAAATGTATTTGAATAGATTAGATGTTTACACAGGTGTTAATTGAGCTTCCTCTATAATGCTCTACTTTCCTTATTATAGAAGTGGTGTAGATTTGATTGACATCTTAATGGATCATGATAATTATTTTCACATAAACTGCAGAGAAGAGCCTACTGAAAAAGCTCCGAGCATCCTCCGAGCATGCTCGGAGCTTCCTCGTAAGAATAAATCTATGATCCCTTATGATTCATCACCCCCAAACTCAATCCCAGCCTTCCCTTTGTGGTATGGTACCTTGCAGTACAATTTCAGAGAGATCCATACACTTGAACACAAGTTATTGTCTGGAAACTAGAAAAATGCTTATTTTTGGCTCCCTATTCCTAAACGTTTCGGGCAATTACCCACAAACTCAATTCCAGCTTTCCCTTTGTGATATGGAACCTTGTAGTACAATTTCAGAAATATCCAAACACTTACACACAAGTTATTGTCATGAAACTAGAAAAATGCTTGTTTTTTGCCCCTTTTTTGGCCCCTAATTCCTAAAATTTTGAGGCAATTACCCCCAAAATCAATTTCAGCCTTCCCTTGTGATATGGAACCTTGTGGTACAATGTCAGAGAGATCCATACACTTACACACAAGTTATTGTCTGGAAGTTACAAAAATGCTTATTTTTGGCCCCTAATTCCTTAACTGTTGGTACCTTAACCCCCAAAATCAATCCCAACCTTCCTTTCGTGGTATTGAACCTTATGGTAAAATTTCATGGAGATCCATTCACTTAAACTAAAGTTAGAGTGTGAAAACCAATGTGTCTTCGGACGACGCCAGACGACGACGACGACGACGACGCCAACGTCATACCAATATACGACCAAAAAATTTTCAATTTTTGCGGTCGTATAAAAAGTAGAGAAACGTGTCTGTCTGATGTTTATCTAAAGGGAAACTTGAGATAGCAATGCAGTTATGAATAAAAAAAAAAGGTCAAAATTCACTTTTTTAGAAGAGTCTTACTTCTTGCCAAGTGATCTTGTAAATTGATTCTTTAAAAAAGTTAAGATCTAGATAATTTAGTGTTTTCATTTTCAAAGTGTGACTGGTCATTTTGAATAAAACAGTCATTATAGCGTCAACACACAGTTACTGATAAAATTAAAGAACCTTAGTGAGCGCGCTCACATACCCCACGTCCCCACATTGTCATTGGAGAAATAAAATATGTGTAAGATAAAAAAATTGTATAAGAAAAAAAAATTGAATCATAATTTCCTGTCAATATGCACATGTACATAGTATGTCCTAATTATCTACAAAGTTTCATGAAATTATGTAGTGTGGTTTCAGAGTTGCGATGACAAACTGTTGCAGAAGTACATTGAAGCAAATAAGTTCAAAGGGGCGTAACTCCTAAAAAAAAAATTGAACCGTAATTTCCTGTCAATATGCACATCTAAATAGTATGTCCTTATTATCTAAAAAGGTTTCATGAAATTCTGTTGTGTGGTATCAGAGGAGTTGCGATGACAAACTGTTGCAGTAGTACATTGAAGCAAATTAGTTCAAAGGGGCATAACTCCTAGAAAAAAAATTGAACAGTAACTTCCTGTCGATATGCACATCTACATAGTATGTCCTTATTATCTAAATAGGTTTCATGAAATTCTGTTGTGTGGTATCAGAGGAGTTGCGATGACAAACTGTTGCAGTAGTACATTGAAGCAAATAAGTTCAAAGGGGCGTAACTCCTAGAAAAAAAGTTGAACTGTAATTTCCTGTCGATATGCACATCTACATAGTATGTCCTTATTATCTAAAAAGGTTTCATGAAATTCTGTTGTGTGGTATCAGAGGAGTTGCGATGACAAACTGTTGCAGTAGTACATTAAAGTAAATAAGTTCAAAGGGGTGTAACTCCTAGAAAAAAATTGAATCGCAATTTCCTGTCGATATGCACAACTACATAGTATGTCCTTATTATCTAAAAAGGTTTCGTGAAATTCTGTTGTGTGGTTTGAGAGGAGTTGCGATGACAAGAAACAGGACTGACGGACTGACGGACAGACGGACGGGTCAAAAACATTATACCCTCCGCAACTCGTTGCATGGGGTATAATAACTTCCTTATTTAAATATATCTATAATAGCATTTTCATTGAATTACATCTATGTTAACTTGCCTTCTGAAAATAATATTGTAGACCATCAAACAAGACTCTGGAGGAACCACACGGGTTAGTCTTATAGTTAGGGTGATATCAACACCATCTGTCAGTCTTTTTGATGTAACAACAGTTTCCTGTAAAATATTCAAAAAATATCATTATAATATCTCAAATAAGGTGCTCCAAAGGACACACATGATAAGCGTTGGGAATTGGTAAGAAAATTTAATTGATTAATTAGTATAATCTGACAGCATGATTGAATTATATTTTGATTCAAAATCAGATTTTTTAATTTATATGCAAAAGACGTCCAAACTTATTTTTTTTAGAACCATTAAAAAAAGTTACAAAACCAGTCACTCAAACTTAAAATTAGCAAAACAAGTATTGTTCAAAAGTACAAGGATGACAGACATATGCCACAAATACCACAGACCATATTTAAGGCATCAGTATACAAGATACGGATTATCTAGCTCTTTTACCCTCTAAAATATGAAGCTGTATACATAGAGCTAATACTGTTACCATTAGCAGATAAGCATCCTTATTTCTCATGTGACAAAATACTCTCACTTAGAGTAAATTGCTTACTGACATAACACAATAGGACCAGAAAAGACCATAATTATTAGAGAACAACTAAACCAAGAATTTAAATATATAGAAAAATATTTAACGAGTGACCCAACAACACAATAATTCACGAATGTGCGTAGCACATGAATTAACTATCAGTTTTGTTCAGTCACGAGTTGCATATTATACAATTCCTGTCTTTTGATGCGGTAAATATGTGGTTTAATTGACTTTTGAAAAACTGATATTCACTGAGGCCGACGGTGGCCTCAGTGAATATCAGTTTTTTAAAAGTCAATTAAACCTCATATTTACCGATACAAAAGACAGTTATTGTTTTATTCAATTTTCCAAGAGAAAACAATGTATTTGATGTCAAATATTTACCAAAACCAATTGTATATCAATCATTTTACAATAACGTTACATGTTAAAGCATGTGACATTCAGCAAGGTGAATATCACTTTTCTCCAGGTGAATATGCTTTTTAAGTCAAAATCCAATTCATGAAGAGAAAACGTACTAAAATAATACCAATATGGAATAATTTTCGATATATTAGTTCTTGAATTAGATATTCTTTTTATTACATCTACCATGTCTATTGAATGGCAAGAGAAAGTAGATAATAAAAGGAACAATATCTTTTCTACAAATTCTCAATTGTTTTGATGCAACGTCATCCAAAACATCTTGACAACACCTACTGTATGATGTCAGAGGAGTGAAATTTTCAGATTTATTTCACATGTGAAATTATCGGTTTTTATTTCACTGGGAAATCACGGTCATTCATTGCAACCAATGTAATAATATAGCTTATTTAGATTGCTTTTTAACTTGATCTGCATAAAAAATCTTTAATACCACCTACCTGATCTGGCAACCGAATAGGTAGGTATAGTATACTACCATCAAAAGCCTTAACTTGTCCTATCACATCCCTATGTTCATTGAGCATTTTAAATCTCATATTCTTTGAATCAACCATTGGACGGTAGTCCACATGATACTGATACACTCCGGGATTGGCACAATTAATTCTAATATAATTTCCTGAAAGGGCAACTCTAAAAAATAAAAAGAGAAAGCATCATTATTCTTAGGTTTATGACTTTATACATGTAAAATATCATGTAAAACAAGGATTTGCATTCATGGCACACCATGTCCCATTTGACCAAAATTTTTATGTTCATTGAACCATGATATTGGGGTCAAAACCTTAATTTGGCATATATCTTAAATAAGTTGACATCATAATATATGATCTAAGTTTCAAGTTAATGTGACAACAACTTCATGGCAAACTAAACACTTTAACTTTTAAATGTTCTGATTTCACAATGTAACATTTCCATGTGTAATGAATTGTAAAAAGTGAGGCAAATTAGATGATCATGCTAAGATCTGATGTAAATTTGATGTTACATTATATTATTTAGATCATATTCTTACGAACATTATAAATCACTAGTTAAAATTATAATTAATTTCATTCATTTGCAGGAGAAGAAATCAAAATGAAACAACTTTTCACTGTAAAACCAATCAAATATTTAAATTATGTCTGTGAAAATAACTTACGCTTTGCCATCTTTTCCCACATTGCTAACAGTAGGTCTTCTATCTTCCACAGCCATCCTTGCAAACCTTCCTTCTAGCTGCTGAGTAGATGACTGACCAGGTGATGGCTGACCAGCTGATCCTGGACCAGCTCTGGGAGGTGAACTTTGTTGTCCTGCAGGAAGCTGCTGTTTCTGAGGGGATGCTTGTGACACTGGAAGATGCTGAGGGGATGCCTGTCCCACTGGTGGAAGTTGCTGAGCTTGCTGAGGTGATGGCATTGAACGTCCTCTTCCCCTGAAATTATCACAGTATACTATAATGAATATTTCTTTGAGTGCAATTTTTAGAACCACATGTTCAGTACCATATAATACAATCAAAATAATTCGCTTCTAACAAAATTAATGCAGTTTTTTTGAAATAGAACTAACCTTTATAACCCATAGCTGAATAAATCACAAAACATATATACATTAAATTGAAAAGTATACCTGAAGATTTAGGAAAGGGCAAGATGCCATGATAGTTCAAACAAGCCATCTAAATTTTATACTTTTAAGCCCTTTATTCTTCTGTCCTGTACATTTTGTATGATCTTTGTAATTATAGTTAAAATAACGATTAAGATCATCATCGCCAATCAGCATCTTATTTGTGTCAAGTGTTTGAAAATGAAATGATGACAAAATTTTGGTAAATTCCATCTAAAGTGTAAGACCTGACATGTATATACCAATGTTTTAGCTTTTTCTTTACAAATATCTGTCTTTTAATCTCTATACAAACAGCAGTTTGAATAATTAACTAAAAACCACCAACTTATTTTATTGTAAGGTTACATGTGCGTCATGATACCACTTATGAAGACTTTTAAAGGCAATGTAATGGGAAGGGAGGCATCTTTTTCACACTAATCCTCCACTAGCATGAGACATGCTTTCAGTAATCTATACCTTTTAAATAGGACACCCAGGGGTTCAAATTAGCGGTGGTCCGAGGTCCGTGACCTTTAATTAACGGGTTCTAACCTTCCCACCGGTAGTTAGGTACACCCGACAGACTTTCGTAGTCTTGAAATATGCAACTTTACTGAAAGGAAACTTATGTATTTGCTTAAATTCTTCACAATTGATTTGATGTGTATTCATGTGACCGGTCGTCGTACAAGATCCCAGGAAACTCGAGAATATATTAATAAATCATAACCAGTAAACGGTATGAGTCTGTTTAGTTTTGGATTGACCCCTTCCAAATGAAAACCTGATGAAACAATGGATAGAAAGGGGGTGATTGGTGAAATAGGGGATACACAGGGGGTGATTGATGAAACGTATTAAAGCAGCCCGAAAGACAGGATCTGACTAAAGACCAAAAATATGACAGGGAAAAACAAGAACGTAAAATTTTCACACAAACATTGAAAGTGCCCTGGTTCATTGGACAACAAAAATTCAAACTTGACTCCATAAAAATCATATTGAATAAAATGCTCAGCTGGGCACAGCTTGATACGACCGCAGAGGTCGAACCCTGAACAGTTGGGGCAAGTATGGACACAACATTCAAGCTTGATACAGCACTGAATTTGGATTGTGATTAAATATTTGACACAGCATAGGTTTCTGACACAGAATGAATGTGGTCTAAGAACTTAAAAAATTTTAATTTACCTATTCAAACCATATCATTATTACTTGCTTTTATATATAAATCAGAAATAACCAATTTAAAATAGAAAATTTTAAAGAAAAAAAAGAAAAAAAGGAAAAAAAAATCCCCCCCAAATTTTTTGAACTTCCTTATGATTCATCACCCCCAAACTCAATCCCAGCCTTCCCTTTGTCGTATGGTATCTTGCAGTACAATTTCAGAGAGATCCATACACTTGAACAAGTTATTGTCTGGAAACTAGAAAAATGCTTGTTTTTTGGCCACTTTTTGGCCCCAAATTCCTATAAACGTTTAGAGCAATTACCCCCAAACTCAAACCCAGCTTTCCTTTTGTGATATGGAACCTTGTAGTACAATTTAATAATGATCCATACACTTACACACAAGTTATTGTCATGAAACTAGAAAAATGCATGTTTTTTGCCCCTTTTTGGCCCCTAAATCCTAAAATTTTGAGGCAATTACCCCCAAAATCAATCCCAGCCTTCCCTTTGTGGTATGGTACCTTGCAGTACAATTTCAGAGAGATCCATACACTTAAACACAAGTAATTGTCTGGAAACTAAAAAAATGCTTATTTTCAGGCCCCTTTTTGGCTCCTTATTCCTTAACATTTTGGGCAATTACCCCCAAACTCAATTCCAGCTTTCCCTTTGTGATATGGAACCTTGTAGTACAATTTCAGAAAGATCCATACACTTAAACACAAGTTATTGTCATGAAACTAGAAAAATGCTTGTTTTTTGCCCCTTTTTTGGCCCATAATTCCTAAAATGTTGAGGCAATTACCCCAAAAATCAATCCCAGCATTCCCTTTGTGATATGGAACTTTGTGGTACAATGTCAGAGAGTTCCAAACACTAACACACAAGTTATGTCTGGAAGTAACAAAAATGCTTATTTTTGGCCCCTTTTTGGCCCTTTATTCCTTAACTGTTGGTAACATAACCCCCAAAATCAATTCCCACCTTCCTTTTGTGGTATTGAACCTTATGGTAAAATTTCATAGAGATCCATTCACTTAAACTAAAGTTAGAGTGCGAAAACCAATGTGTCTTCGGACGACGACGACGCCAACGTCATACCAATATACGACCACAAAAATGTTTTTGCGGTCGTATAAAAATTACCCAAAGTATATTTGGTCAAAGGTCCTGGACCTTGCATTGCTTAAAAGTAAATTTGAACCCCTGGACACCAGTAAACCAACTATGCATGTTAACTTGAAGAATGCCACTCTTAAATGATGTTCCTACAATACACTTGACTTCATGAATACGTACTGTAGAAGGGCTTGCATGGCAGCCAACCCTCTTCCTCTTGCTAATCCTATAGGAGCCTGATCTGGTGCACCTTAAAAAACAATACACAAAATAATGAGCTATAGTATAAACGTGATTAGTATCGTTTTCATAACAGTGTGGACGAGACCATTTTTTGGCGCGATCAAGTCTCCCATTGACAGGGTTAAATTAGGTGAATGTTCGTCTGTAACGCCCACTTATCACGTCCTATTTATTATAGAATATTATTTAAACTGTGGGGTCACCAAAGGTTCTCAACGCCGGACTCAAATAATTAGAAAAACTAGTATAGGAATAACCTTTGTGTTTTGATTAATATTGAATACTTAAACGTTCTTTACTTGCGTTTTTTTATGTTTTGATCACCAATTTCATTTTATGTATCGAAATGTGTAACAAGTGTTTATCTAAATCCCCACTGGAAGGCCTCTGTCAGACTGTGTGAGCGTAAAATCATTGTTATCGATAGCCAAAGACAACAAAGTTAAAGGTAAATGATTCAGTAGTATTAACAACAAAAGAACTGCGGTTTTCCACACTGTTATGGGAATACCTCTATTACATTGATTGCAGTGAATTACCGTGGAAATAAAAGCAGATAATTTCATAAGTGACATGTCTGACGTTGTACAACAATAGGTGTTGTCAAGATGTTGTCGACGACGTTGCATCAAAACAAATTGTGAATGCGTAGAAAAAAATTTAGTTCCTTGCATTTTCTACTTTATTTCCATTAAAAAGCCCATTGTCAATGCAATTTAAAGAATAACTAATCAAAGAATTCTAATATCGAAAAATATTCAACTTGTCACTGAACAACACTGATAATTAACTCATGTGTTACACACATTCGTGAATTAATGTGTTGTTCGGTCACTCGTTGAATATTTTTCTATATTTGAATTCTTCGATTATTTATTCTATAAATCATGTTAATATGAAAATTTGATAATAATTTAGACTGTCTTCAAAAATATTATTTCACGATGAACAAAAAGAAACTTCCCTTATCCTTTTTTCTTATTACCAAAACTGAAGCTGATAAATAAAACTGTTCTGAAAAAAAGTATTTTATCTAAGTCTAACCTCCTGGTGTAGGTGGTGGAGCAGATCTTGCAGCAACCAAACCCCTCAATATATCACCTCTTCCCATAGCAACAGGTGGCTGTGTCTCTTGCTGAACTCCAGCTGGTTTCTAAAAAAAAAAACACACTGATTATCAAAATTTGGGTAAAACAAAAGTTTGAAAAATGGTAACTATTGAAAACAAGACATCATCCATGTTAGCAAAAAAAAAAGATTTTAAGCGGTTGGCATATTGAGCAAAAACACCATCCTTGCAGAGAAGAAGCAAATACCAATTATTAAGACTTTGGTTTGATACAGCCAGGAATTGATACACCGACCTCCTGCACTTGAGGTGTGCACGCTACCATACGAGTAAAGACTACCAAGATGGTTGTCATTTAAAAATTATTTTTGATTTTATTGACAGGTTTATTGACAGGTTATGTTTTGCAACATTTCTTGCTTGCAATTAAAATAAAATGCTCCGCAGGGCGCAGCTTGATACGACCTCAGAGGTCGAACCCTGAACAGTTGGGGCAAGTATGGACACAACATTCAAGCTTGATACAGCTCTGAATTTGGATTGTGATTAAATAGTTGACACAGCATAGGTTTCTGACACAGAATGAATGTGGTCTAAGAATTTAAAAATTTTTAAATTGGACATTCACCTATTATGGTCCAATATCCAAAATCTAAATACATGGTTAGATTCAGCATATCAAAGAACCCCAAGAATTCAATTTTTGATGAAATCAAACAAAGTTTAATTTTGGACCCTTTTGATCTCAATGTGGACAAAGTTGATAACGGGGCCCAAAAATCAAAATACATGGTTAGATTCAGCATATCAAAGAACCCAATATATTCAATTTTTGTTGAAAGCAAACAAAGTTTAATTTTGGACCCCGATTTGGACCAACTTGAAAACTGGGCCCATAATCAAAAATCTAAATACATGTTTAGATTCAGCATATCAAAGAACCCTAAAAATTCAATTTTTGTTAAAATCAAACTAAGTTTAATTTTGGACCCTTTGGACCTTTATGTAGACCAATTTGAAAACGGAACCAACAATTAAGAATCTAAATACACGGTTAGATTCGGCATATCAAAGAACCCCAATAATTCAATTTTTGATGAAATCAAACAAAGTTACATTTTGGACCCTTTGGACCTCAATGTGGACCAATTTAAAAACGGGGCCCAAAATCCAAAAACTTAATACACAGTTAGAATCAGCATATTAAAGAACCCCAAGAATTCAAGAATAAAACCCCATTGAAATTGATCAAGAAATAAGCAATTTATACGAAGTATCTTCTTTTGCACAATACTGTGCAATTGAATATTTCTTGCTATTGCGCAATACTGCACAATTGACAATTTCTTGCTATTGCCCAATATTGTGCTATTGGATATTTCTTGCTATTGCGCAATACTGTGCAATTGAAGATTTCTTGCTATTGCGCAATACTGTGCAATTGAAGATTTCTTGCTATTGTGCAATACTGTGCAATTGAAAATTTCTTGCTATTGCACAATACTTATTATATAATAATTTACACATCCTGTTTGGTGTGTATCTCCTACCATATCATTATTATTTGCTTTTAAATATAAATCAGAAATAACCAACTTAAAATGGAAAATTTTAAAAGAAAAAAAGAAAAAAAAAATCCCCCCCCCCCCCAAATTTTTGGAACCCCCTTATGATTCATCACCCCCAAACTCAATCCCAGCCTTCCCTTTGTGGTATGGTACCTTGCAGTACAATTTCAGAGAGATCCATACACTTGAACACAAGTTATTGTCTGGAAACTAGAAAAAATGCTTATTTTTGGCCCCTTTTTGGCCCCCAATTCCTAAACGTTTCGGGCAATTACCCCCAAACTTAATTCCAGCTTTCCCTTTGTGATATGGAACCTTGTAGTACAATTTCAGAAATATCCAAACACTTACACACAAGTTATTGTCATGAAACTAGAAAAATGCTTGTTTTTTGCCCCTTTTTTTGGCCCCTAATTCCTAAAATTTTGAGGCAATTACCCCCAAAATCAATTACAGCCTTCCCTTTGTGATATGGAACCTTGTGGTACAATGTCAGAGAGATCCATACACTTACACACAAGTTATTGTCTGGAAGTTACAAAAATGCTTATTTTTGGCCCCTTTTTGGCCCCTAATTCCTTAACTGTTGGTACCATAACCCCCAAAATCAATCCCAACCTTTCTTTCGTGATATTGAACCTTATGGTAAAATTTCATGGAGATCTATTCACTTAAACTTAAGTTAGAGTGCGAAAACCAATGTGTCTTCGGACGACGCCAGACGACTACGACGCCAACGTCATACCAATATACGACCAAAATTTTTTTAATTTTTGCGGTCGTATAAAAACTTGCTTAATTTGTCAAGCCTTTACCATCAGATATTTCAACTTAACAAATTGCAATTTGGGAGGGTCTAAACAAAAATGATGTAATGATAAAATGTTGCAAAATGATGTGATGCCAATATTATTTTTTTTAGTATTTAAACAAACATGTCGTCTTTTAACACAAGACTATGAACTAAATATCATAATATTCTTTATTTAGATGAGAAACCATGTACATTATGTAAAGAAATTATTTAGGATTGGCCTTATACATGAAACATTGCCTTTATATCAACATGATCAAAATGGTTAATTACCATTCTAACATGACGTTCTTCAAACGCTTTGAGTACACACCCGTGGTAAAATATGAATATATTGTTTGGGCTGTTCCGATCGTACTCCCGCGTCATATGCTTTTTTATGAATGAGCTACCCGACGTCATAGAACGATGACGTAAGAATATAAGCATTTTACGGGAAAATACACGCTTTTGAAACCGAAAATCATCACAACAAGGAAACGTAAACAAAGTGAAACGATGCTTAAATGTGTTATATAAGCCACTTTTTGTTTACATATAAGACATATAAATACAATTATCATTTAGATTCATCCAAACCTATCTAAATATGTCATTGTAAATAGTTTAAGCATGCCATTTATTCAGTTTGTTTCCTTCTTTTACGTCAATTTTAGTGCGTTTATTTATGGGAACGGCAAATAATGCCTTCACCTAGAGCGCTTCGATCCAAAAGAATGGCCGTATTTGTACTATTAGAAGCGAAATAATTCATGGGGCTTGAATATATCGTGATTTTACCACGGGTTGTCCCTTTATGCCGATATTTTACCCCTCGCTATTGCTCAGGGTAAAATATTTGTCATAAAGGGCCAACCCGTGGTAAAATCACGATATATTCAAGCCCCCATGAATTATTTCTTAAATAACTAGAGCGGCTGATTCAACACCTTGCCAACATGATATTTTTTTCTTGTGGTCTAAAACAAACGCAGTGATAGATCGGAAAGCGACCTCACCCCTTACTCAGTAGCACAAGTCCAGCTTAACTTGCTGATACAAAAATCATGCTTTACTTTATTGTAACCAACTTTAAGACTTCACACAATTATGGCTATGATTCACATACCTCATCCTGATCTCCTGGTTTACGAGTTCCATCTTTCAGAGCCTGAAGTAGAGCTGCCCCTCTTCCACCTCTTCCAAACCCACCAGTAGCCATTTCAGATCTTTTGCTTCCTAAAAGTAATAAAACAAATAAATCTAAATATAATCATTTCCTTTCAACAACAACAACAACAACCCCAATACCTTTCCAATGATTTAATCAATTTTTCTGGAAATATATTGCACCAAAATCTGGTCAATTGATAAACACAATAAACATAAAGCATAAGTATCAATGCACAATAAATTAACTTTCATTAAAGAATTCAATAGAATAATAAGTAAATTGTGTTCAAAAATATTTTGCTCTGTCATCAACGATCCCACCGGCCAGGAAAAACGAAAAAACAAAAACGAGTTAACTCGGTCAAACTCCATTAAAAATATAGTAAAAGACTACTTTTAAATAAAGTGGAAAATGTCGGAAACCTGTGTCCAAACCCAAATGTTCGGAAGACTGTCTCAAGAGTTATACTTGGACAGTATATAAAGTAAATATACTATATGTTATTAAGCAATAACTTAAGTTTCTCTTTAGTAAAATATATTATTACTACTAAATACAAAATAGAATAAAATAATTCAATAGCAAACTTTATTTCACTGTTGTCCAGTCTGATGCTTGGCTAGAAGTGATCAACAAGGGAAAATATTCCCGCTTACTATTAATATCACGTGATAAATGCGTTTTGTTAAAAAATACTTTTTCACTTTTTAGGTCTTTAGACCCCTCTATCAAGAAATTTGTTTTGCATGCACACGTATAAAAATTGCGGTTTTTATCCAACGCAATCATAGGTTTAAACGTTGTTTTCAATTTAGACTTGTTTATATTTTTTCATTTGGGCTTGTATTATATTTTCCTTCGGGTTTATATGATCCGTTCATCCTATTTCTAATATTTCGACTCTTCAAAATTCAAGAGTCTATCCTAAATTGAGGTAAATTATATGGCCTTCCAAATGCCGTTTCGATCCCTAACATCACTGAAGAGACATTAATTGTCGAAATCCGGATATGGTGTACTAATTTTTGCACCTTTTGTTTGATGTATACCATCTTTTCCGCAAGTTTATTGTTTTCTGATTGGTATTAAATTAATAATTTTACAAGATCCATTTTGTAACATCTTGTGATCCGTTTATTTGGCAATCGCCAACGGCAGTCAGCAGGGTTTAAGAACATCTGTTGTTCGACCTGTTAGTCAAATGTGTTTTGTTAAAATATACTTTTTCCCTTTTAGGTCTTTTGGAAAATGTTGTTTGTGCTGTATTTAGACCCCTCTATCAGGCAAATTTGTTTGCATGCACACGTATAAAAATTGCGGTTTTTATCCAACGCAATCATAGATTTGAACGTCGTTTTCAATTTAGACTTGTATATATCATACTGGTACATACGAAGTACCCGTATCAATAGTATCCACTAGTACCGTTATTACAGTAATTTCCCTCTATACTATTGAACCGTGGGAAATTATAATTATCCTATCTAGTGTATCTGCACACCTAAGACTTTTGGCTACTTTGGTAAACTGATAAATGGATAATATCTTGTGAACAAATTTTGCCAACTTACATTTGTAACATTACCATTTTGATGGGAGAAGAAATAATTTACGGTTGACCTACTTAGAAGCTGCCTGCTACAAACATGTTGGGAACAAACCCTCTATATGGTGTTTAAACCTGTATAGAGGGATACAATTATCCCTCTATAGAGGGATATATTTGTTTATACTGGATTTAAAGCAGGAAGATGTCAGAATCGCATGTTCTAGTTATATTGGCTGTAATCTATACCATTATATGTATCAATTATTGCACAATACTAAAAAATTGGGATGCCCAGTTTTCTGCTAAAGTGGCAGAACTTGCAATCTATGGTGTACCTATCTGAACACCTGATCAACAACAAAAGGGACAGTTGACCTTTAAATTTTATGTTAAATCTAACAATAGAAATCTGTTCATTGAGGCATAACTGAGTGGAATTTACCTTATCATCACAGGTTTCAATGATGATGAACAATAGATTGTATATTCAGTCAGTTTAGCAGTTAAATAGAGTGCATATTAAATTAGGTACATCAAATGAAATGTTGCAGGTTACTGCCATAATAAGTAGAAAATGCGCATTTGCCATGTTCTGCTTTAAAATCCAGTCTAACCAAATATATCCCTCTATAAGAGGGATAATTTTATCCCTCTATTATAGAAGGGTTATCCCTATCTATACAGGTATAAACACCATATACATGATATAGAGGGTTTGTTCCCAACCTGAAAAATAATTCCAACAAAAGAAATGAGCATGTCATATATCATTTTGATGATATGTTTGATTTACAAAATAACGCAAAATTCAGCGAAATAGGCAACTGCGGAAACAAAAATTATAAGGAAATGTTATATCCTTCAATCCCTCAAGTTCGTCAAACCCGCAAGTTCGTCCGCCTTCACTGTTTACATTTATCGCACACGCGGAATACTTGTGACGTCACTTTCCAGCTGAGCAGGGTTCTATATATAGTAAAGAACAACGTGGAAAAGCGAAACCAAAACATGAGGTTGAAACAGGTAAATAGACATAAAAATAGAAAAATCTTTGTCAAAATCGCCATTTTTACTAAGTCCCTTTTCTATCTATCTTTAAATCGACTTTATAATTGTAAAACACAGGGAAAATCCCTTCCAAGCCCAGTTGCCGGTTTCTTTACATTCCAGTAATTACTACCTGTGACCTACAAAAGTATGACAGGCCAAGCAATTATTAAAATTGTAACTAACAAATATGGAAATTTGAAGGAATTTTTTGCACAGATTATGAAAAAATTCTGGAAAAATGATGAATTATCGCCATAAAATGGCTTCTACTGCCATATGTATTTTCCCCCACAACATCATGGTTGCAAAAAAGGGTATGACTTTGTTAATTCCTGACCAATATTAACGATAGAGGGCTAAAAATTTTGCTGAGAATTTGCACTTTACATACACTTATATACATATACACATATTAAAACAAAAAATACAGCAATAAAACAAAAAGGCATCACATTACATTTCAGGCTAAACCTACTTTCCTCAGGCATGATAAAAAGTACAGGCTGTACAGTCCCACGGCTTTGACTAATGCATACATATCAGTATGGAATAAAGAAATGTCCCAAAGAAAAGCAGCTCTACAATTTAATGTCCCAAGGCAAACTCTACGTGATAGAATCACTGGCAAAATAAGTCCAGATTGTGTCACCACTGGGAGGGCACCTGTCTTTTCACTTGAAGAGGAGGCACGGATTGTGGCACATGTAAAGTCCATGGCTTCATATGGATATGGGTACACTAGACAAGAAGTTACAGATCTGGCTACTGATTTTGCCCACACAATCAATATTAAACCAAGAAATGAAGAACTTACCTTAAGATGGTTTGAGGGTTTCATAAAAAGATGGCCAGAACTTAAAGTGGTTAAACCTGGAAGTTTGGAGATTCAACGTGCAAAATGTGGTTCTGTTGCTAATGTTGAAAAGTACTTTGCAAGCTTAGAGCAAGTTGTTCACAAATATAATCTTCAGGATAAACCACATCTCATATTTAATATTGATGAGAAGGGTATAACACTGAATCATAAACCACCTAATGTTGTATCTGGAATTAAATGTAACACATCATCAGTAACATCTGGAAGGTCTAGTACTACGACCATACTTGGCTGTGGAAGTGCCTCAGGATTTGCTGTACCTCCATATTTTGTATTTGAAGAGAAAAGAATGATGAATGAATTGATGAATGGAGCAACACCAGGTGCTGTTGGTGCAGTATCAGACTCAGGATGGTCCAATACCAACATATATTCAGACAATATTTGACTGACCATTCTCTTAAATAAGTCCCTGGCAGAAACAATGACAACATACTTCTACTCCTTGATGGGCATAAGTCACATGTTGCAGTTGATATTATTGAATGGGCACAGCAACATCACATCATCATTCACATCTTACCAGTTCATACCTCACATATATTACAACCTTTGGATGTTGGATGTTATGGGCTGTTGCAACGTATTTATGATAATGAATGTCACAAAACCATGCGTCAGAACTCCTTAGTCATAACCAGATACAACATATGTGAACTAGCCTGCAAAGCATACCAGAAAGCACTATCCCCTGAAAACCTTCAGTCTGCATTTAGGAAGACTGGAATTTACCCCTTGGATAAAAATGTCATCAACAAAGATCAACTGAAACCATCAGAGGTATTTACAAAAAATGATGAATGCAAAGAAACTACGGATGAACCAAAAACAGATGATATACTAGTAGTTGAAGTTGATATGAACGGAGAAGTAATGGAAGCTGTTGAAAGTGCTGTGACTGATATTTTAGTTGTTGAAGATTTGCAAGATCATGATGCTACTGTTCCACACTTCTTTGACGAAAGAATAAACAAACTAAAGAAAATTAAGTCCGAAAATGACAAGAAAGAAAGAAAAACCCTTGGAAAGATTGTATCCAGTATGCCCATAACTGAAACTGAGGTAGCAGAAAAGGTAAAACAGCATGTTGAAAACCAAGGAAAACATAAATCAACCAACTCGAGTAGTAAGAAAACTGGGAAACAAAATAAAAAGAAACCGTCCACTTCTGCTTCATCACTTACCTGGACCTAGCCACATTAAACCTGGACCTATCCGCACATCAACTAAACCAGGACCTAGCAACACTTCTCCTAAACCAGGACCTAGCCACATATATATAAATGATTCCATGGACTTCAGCGATACAGACAATGAAGAAATTCCAGAAATTGAATTATGCTGTGTATGTAAACAGTTCACCCCCAATCAAATTAGACTTGGAGTTGGTGTTGAACTTACCAAATGGGTGCAGTGTAACAATTATAGGTGCAAGCACTGGACACATCTCAAATATTGTACAGAACTGAGGGCTGTGAGGAGGAATACCATGTTTTACTGCATGCATTGCAAGGACATGGAATAGACAATTTTGCACAATTTCTTTGTTATTGTTACTTGTTGAATATTTTATCGTTAAATTTAATTTTTTGTTACTTTATTTCAATACTTACCTTTAAAATTAACTTTAAACAAAAAATGCGAAAATGCAATGTGCTTGGCTTAATCTGTGTGACGTCACAAGGTTGTACATCCGGTGGACGAACTTGAGAGGCGAAAGTAGAAAAGGCATTGATTAGAAGTAAGTGTTCACGTTTGCTGTTTCGCTATACTACGGTCTTTTGTAGATTCTTTTGAATGTCAAAGTCTAGATTTTTATTGAATCTTTATGACTGCAAATTATCGGGAATATACGGGAAACGTAGTTGAAAATGCACTGCGATATTCGTTAGGTTGACCATGGAAGTAATATTTAAAAGGAATAACAACGACTAATTAGCATGTCTTAATGGCATGCAGAGCTCTGTACTAAAGTCATATGATTTTATCCAATTATAGTCTCAGCGGCAAGACCCCTTTGGTTATAATCTGTGATACCGCAGTTGTAAAATGGCATCTGGAATTTCTTATCAGTGGCGTGATTTTATCAAGTACGGTAATTATAAAGCACATGTGTGAAATCCTAGTTTATTAATTCACAAGGTGGTGCTGTATCATAAAACTTCTACCTTCAAAAAGAATCTAATGATGTAAAAAACTTGAAAAACGGACGAGAATTGTTTACACTACAGCAGTTAAACATGGAAAATTGTATTTATTTTTACATATTTTTGCTTTTTACCGTTCGTTTTAAACTGAGCTAAAATTATTTTCCGATTGAAAGCGGATCCCGAGTAAAACAGGTAATACCGACAAAGCGATTAGGTTTCACATGATGTTTAACAAAATAATGAAGACAAATGAAGACATAGATTTTTTTACTGTTGAAATGTGCAAAGTTTAACGAGATTCAAAAAAGGATATTTACTTTCAAGTTTTTTAAATCTATGTATATGTAATAAATGTCATTGATTACATTATTGAAACTGGACAACTAAAATCGGGATAATAAGTTCGTAAACATCTATCTTAAAAAAGTGTATTAATACAGTTAATATAACACGCTACAGCAAAAATAAAAACAAACAGACAAAATGAGCTTGATCCTATCTGCCTAACTGATTATTCATTTATACGAATTAGTTTAAAGAATAGAAACGTTTGTGAATATTTTAATTGACTGGTATACACGCATGACTTGGATTATTCATATTTAATAAAATATTTTTTGTACATTCATATTCTTAAATTTTTAAGAAATGGCGTCTTAACTGTCTGTAAATATTAAAATTGAAAACGATCCACCCATGTTCTCCAGTTTTTAAGATCGAAATAAACAGAAATAGGAAAATTAGACTAAAATCAACATTGAACGAAATTACTCTATTTGGCAGCGTACATCAGTGGAATGTAACGAGTGGACTATTTGGGTTACTTCGCACGTATATACGACAACAACTTGTCTGTTCGTAATTTTTCCGTGAACACGAAAACGACTGAAAAGTGTCAGTGATTTGATCGATCACATGCGGAGCAGTGTTCCAGCTAGGATTTGTAAATAGAGGGGCGCGTTTTTAAAAAAGGGCACTTTAGCGCGTTTTCATTGAAAAAAATCAAATACTTAATATTACCACATAATGACATATTTTTAGCAAGCATGTAGCCAAGTTAAATACTCTATACTATTATATACAAGTTTAAAAATCATTTATTTAAATCATATAAGTTAAAATCAAACTGAGAGCACTAATAGTCATTACTATATTCATTTCTCTTTCAGAACTACAGATTTTTTCAAAGAAGAGTTCAAATGCAAATAAATATTAAACAACATTGCCAAGTCTTCTGTTTTTCTTTTTGAAGAAGGTTGTCACACATTGATCAAGAATTTTTTCAAATTTAGTTTCATCACAGTTTAATTTTACAGTTAATATTTTTGTTAATGTCTGTGTTTTCAAGTTTGCCCTGTGACTTGTCTTTATCAATTTGACCTGAGAGAATATTCTCTCCACCTCTGCTGTACTGAGTGGTTGTATTATTGCAACACTGAATAGTTTTGCAACAAGAGGGTGCATAGATAATAGGTTTTTATCCTTATGACAAGGTGAATGAAATAGCTCTAGCAGACTAGGTAAGGAACGATCTGAAAGTTCTGCTGATGACACAAGAGCTATAAAGTCCTGCCATTGAATAAGGAGAGTTTCAGGGTCCATGTCAAATGTATTTGCCAGAGCTTCTATCTCTGTATAACCATACATTGTTTCAATGTTGTCTGTTCCTGTAAGGTCTAAAATGGGCAACTGATCGATTGTGTCAGTTATTGCATATTTATGTTGTTCACTGTCTTGATGGATTTGTATCTTATCTTTGCGCAACAGTTTATAACCTACAGTAGAACATGTCTGACTACCATTACTTCCATGTGATTGATGCTTGTTACAAAGTTTGCAAAGCATGACATCAACTAATGTTCCATCCTCACTAAAGTCTTTGTCAAAATATAACCAGGAATACTGTTTTAACCCAATTATTATTTATACCAACTTTGTGTTTCCCACTAGGATTTCTTGATCGTGTGGAGGAAGGAAGTGAAGGGTTAGGATTTTCTTGAGTTGCTTCATTTGCTTGTAAGTTGTATTTGTGGTTGTATAGGAGTTTTGGCTGTCTCAATTACAATTTCAGGGGTCTCATTTCCATCATTACTGAAAGAAGATAGGGAGAGTGGGGTAAACTTTACATTGAAAATTGTGTAAGTTTGGTTGTGAATTTAAATAAGAGTGCCAATAAGACAATTGTCTTTATTTCGATCTTGAGAAATAGATTAATTCAACAAATAAGTTTGTTAATTCAACTTTGAAAGTTTATTATCAATTCAACAAGCATCTCCGTATATTTCATGTTGAGCGTATCTAATAATATCAATAAGTTTGTCAAAACGGATTTCAATAAGAAAATTGATACAAAAATCGGACTTTCGAGAGCTCCGTAATCGACACAATAATAAATTAATTCAACTTTGAAAGTTTATTATCAATTCAACAAGCATCTCCGTATATTTCATGTTGAGCGTATCTAATAATATCAATATTAAAGTTAGTCAAAACAGATTTCAATTTAAGAAAAATGATATAAAAATCGGACTTTCAAGTGCTCCGTAATCGGCGGAATTTACAATAGAAGAACAATTGCGATATCTGATAGAAACCTTTCTTCTTCTCGAATTTTCATAAAAGTAAAGGATTAAATTATTTCTTTACCTTTGATGGTCATTATTCTTGAAAAAAAGATGTAATAGACTGGTAAGTCTTTGATATTTTCTTCTTGTCATTTTCGAGTTGGGTCAATTTTTCTTTTTTTCGTCGGCATTTTGCGTGTTGACGATTTTAATACAATTTACTATTGGAATGATTCTTTTTTAATGAACGTTATTTTATAAATAACAAATACAATAGAAATGCACATCTTCTATTTTGCATCGTCAGGTGTTAAAAAATCAATTCATTTAACTTGGATGTTTGGTGCTTCAGGACAAAGGGATTAGACAGGGTCGTAAATTTCACCTGATTAAGTAATTGACTCTAATCAAATAGGTGATTATATACAGGTAACAAGTGTCAACAATTTTAATCTGTTGTCTTAATGAAGTGTGTATAAATTAATAAAGAACTCAACAAAATGGCGACGATATGAGGAAAAAAGATCGTTTTTTAAACTTTTTTCAAAAGAGCACAGAGGGGCGCATCAGAAGGGCAGAGAGGCAGAGGGGCGCTTAAAAAAGGCAGAGGGGCGCAAAATTTTGTGGGCGGGGCGCGGCACCCCTCCATTTCATGCTAACTGGAACACTGTGGAGAATCAACTACCATTCCATATCGTAAACTGATTGAGTAATCGAAAGATAGGCGGTAACGCAGATGAAACCTTTGAACTGGCGTTGTTATTCCTTTCATGGGTGGACGAACTTTGCGGAGTCGAGGAAATATAATTTATGCCCCCCAAAAATTTGTTTTTCTTAGACAAGTGGCTTGAAGACAATGAAGTGCCTATGTACACCACTATAAACAAAGACTATAACTAATCCTTATTCATACAACTAACCCTACCCCTAAATATGTATATATATTTATTGTAGGGTAGATAGAACAATGAGAAAATCAAAAACCGTGAAAATAAAAGCACATCGCCACATGACACGCAGACGTCAACTTTCCAACTTTCAACAACTAACAATCACGATATTGCCATTTCGTAACATTTGAAAGATGTCGAATAAGTAAAAAGCAATACTCTTAAATTATACAAACCTTAATTGATGATAATATTAGTAGTATTTTTTATGAAAACATTTTGATGTAACTTGTCAATCTCTTTCTCGCGCTGAGCCTCTTTCTGACATCATAACAAACCACATAAAAATTAAGTATTTCCCATCCGATCCCATATCAACCTTTCCGGAATTTCTTGTAAACGTCAGGATTAAATTCGGTGTTATGTTATTGTGCAAAACGGTTGCTGTGAATTATGATTTGGAAAACTACGTTCTGTACCTAAAACTTATACCGATTGCAGAGTACGAATTCAACCATTTTTGACAAATGTTACATTACAATCGCTAAATTATTCAAGTTCTTTTAGTTTTGCTTTCAGCCAAAAACAAAGTTGTGTGTATTTCTCGCTAATCTTTCATAGAGTCGTGTATGCCAGATTTAGACACTTCCGTAACAAATACCGGAAACATACAAAATATTTTACTTATGAGGAAACATTTAGTTTATAAATATCAGCTAAATTATAGTTTTATGTTTTTATGCTGCATTAACAGCTTGCATTGCAGTTGAAATTTTGTTTTTACGTTTTGATAATTACAAGAGTTATAGTTTTTACTTTAAATTATCTGGGACTAGTAAATAGTCCAAGATTTATATTCACTGAAAATTTTTAGCTTCAAATTTTTAAAATAATTCCTGTATTAGTGCTTCATATATATGTTTTTAGTGTTAGCAAGATACATGTATATGCTAGAGTTAAATGTGGTGCTGTTTTATTACTATTTATTTGCATGCTGCATGCCTTGTTTTATTTGTTATTGCATATGTTTTGATATTCGGTGAAAAGCTTATGCTGTATGTTTGTCAGTCAAATATGCCGAAATATTTAAACATGAGATGCATTTTGTTGATATTGTAACACTGGCAAAAAAGTTTAATTGTACAATAACATTGAGAATGGAAATGGGGAATGTGTCAAAGAGACAACAACCCGACCATAGAGCAGACAACAGCCGAAGGCCACCAATGGGTCTACAATGCAGCGAGAAACTCCCGCACCCGGAGGCGTCCTTCAGCTGGCCCCTAAACAAATATGTATACCAGTTCAGTGATAATGGACGTCATACTAAACTCCAAATTATACACAAGAAACTAAAATTAAAAATAAAACAAGACTAACAAAAGCCAGAGGCTCCTGACTTGGGACAGGCACAAAAATGCGACTGGGTTAAACATGTTTTTTGAGATCTCAACCCTCCCCCTATACCTCTAGCCAATGTAGAAAAAACAAACGCACATCAGTACGCACAGTAAAACTCAGTTCAAGAGAAGTCCGAGTCCGATGTCAGAATAGGAAACATAAGGAAATAAACAAAATGACAATAATACATAAATAACAACAGACTACTAGCAGTTACTGACATGCCAGCTCCAGACCTCAATTAAACTGATTGAAAGATTATGTCTTCATCATATGAATATCAGGCACAATCCCTCCTGTTAGGGGTTTAGTATTATACCATCATAAAATATATGAGAAGAACATAACCCGTGTCATGCCAAAAACTGGTTTTAGAATAAACATGTTTAATTCCGATGCAAAGACCCTATAAGTGAATCAATATTAAAGCCAAAATATGCAATCTTTAATGACCTGACAACAGTATCGTAACTATATCCCTTCTTAATAAGTCTGTTTAAAGGTTTTGTTAGCTTTTGAGGTGAATACTGACATTGTTGTGCTTTGTAAAGAATATTACCATAAAAGATTGGATGTGAAATACCCGAACGTATAAGATGTCTACATGTTGAGTTATATTTACGAATGATGTCCTTATACCGATGATAAAATTTAGTAAATGTTTTGACTAGTTTATGATATCGAAAACCCTGGTGTAATAATTTTTCAGTAATACATAAATTTCTCTCGCTAAAGACTAAGACTGTTTTCTCGCCTGCGATTGCCACTGTCAGTGTAACAGTGTAAATTTTACTATAAAAAGTAAGTACATTTGACAGTACAATAGTTTTTTGAGTTGTTTCGGCAATACACCACTTCAGTCTTGGTCGTTTCTGTCCATTATGCCTTTTTTCCCTAATGTCCGTGTCTATCAATGTTTTGAATAAAGAAATAAGAGTTTGGTAAATATTTCTTTATATATGATTAGACTTAGAAAATGTCACAGTTGGCAGAGCCAGGTTAAGATAAAAAAAAAAATCTTATTTTTATCAGAAGATTCATTGAAGTCTCGATAAAGTAGATCAAAATATATATGGTCGACTCTCAAAATTGATTTGGAAAAGGAAAAATTAATGTATTGTTTTGCTTCAAAATATTATAAATTAATAATAACTGTACTGGACTAAATAATAATTATCATATTAGATAATCATTTCCACTACAGTTATGTTTGAGAATAATGATATTATCACCGATGCGCAATTTGGATTTCCGTATCCAGACTTAACTTATGGTTGAAACTGTCAAGAGTTAGTATAACAGGCAAATTGCTGTCTCTATTCTACAGTAAAAGTATGTGTGAAAATTGATGGTTTTTATTCTGAGCAGTTTACAAGTTCAGTTGGTCTTATGCAAGGGGAAATTCTTTCTCCTATACTTTTTTCATTATATGTCAATAACTTTGAAATGGAAGTCCTACGTAATAGTAAAATACCATATGAAGTACAAGACTTATCATTATTTTTACTTATGTACGCTGATGACATGATTTTATTTTCTGATTCAGTTATTGGCTTGCAAGATATGTTAGGTACACTATTATTATATACTTGTAAATGGGGTTTGACTGTAAATATTTCCAAAACAAAAATTATTGTATTTTATAGAAACGGAGGTTTTGTGAAAGACGGAGAAATCTTGTATTATAATGGCAATACTATTGACATATATAGTGGATGAATTTTGTTACCTTGGTGTACTGTTAAATTTGCTAAAGTTCAGAGACATTTAGCTGAGCAAAGTAGAAAAGCTGTATTTGGTTTAAAGTCGAAGGTTTCGTCATTGTATTTGAATGTTTTTACATATTTGAATTTGTTTGATACTTATATAAGTAGTATACTATATGTTATGGTTGTGCTATTTATATAAATATATTGTCAATAATGTAAGTTTACAGAATTATCTCAATAAAAAAATGAATTTTAGAGTGTACTTAACTCGTCTTAGATTGTCTTCACATAATTTGTTTGTTGAAGTAGGTTAGACAGAAAATGTGCTCTTTGTACTTTGAATACCATTGAAGATGAATTCCATTTTGTATTACAATGTGAATGCTATAGAGATTTAAGGAGACAATTTATTAAACCTTCTTATTATAGGTGTCCATCGTCGTTCAAATTAGTTCAACTTCGCAGCACTGAAAATGTCAAAGATTTGCGTAATTTGTGTAAATTCCAGACTCCTATTTAAAGCACTTATTCATAGGACTGTCTGAACTGTTAGCTGACAATACTTGATGTTTATTTGCTTCTCTAATGTATTAAGCCATTTCATTTTATAAAAATGTATTTGTATTTATTGTACTGATAAGCATAATGTGCTTCAAAGTAATAAAGAATTGAATTAAATTGTATATTTAATTAGATAATTGGATTAGCTAAGTGATACAATTATTGTCTACAGTGATTGAGAAAGGCGTGTGTCTCATAACTTGTTATTTAATTTAATCATTTCAAACAAGACTGTCACCTTTTTGTTTGCTTAAGTCATTTTGTGAAGATCAGGACAGTAAATTATGTGGAAGCATGTTGGCAGTTGCCTCCTATATATATATATATATATAGTGGGCCGAACAAAAAGAAAAGAGAAAAAAAAAAAATTTAGATAGTGTATTATCGATAATGGGTTCCTGTAGCACTATTACAGCTCTTCTATAAAAGCATGCAAAGCAAACCTTTGATCAACTTGCTTGCTATGTTTGTTTGGATGTTTGTAAACAAAAGGTAGGTAGTCTGTTTCAGTCTGTTTACTATATACTGGAATTTGATTGGACAATAAACATAACTTCATTGCATGTCATTTTTTATTGTCTAATCAAATTCCAGTATATACAAAACAGACTGAAACTCCGCCTACCTATTGTTTGCAAACATCCAAGCAAACATATAAAGCAAGTTGATCAAAGGTTTGCTTAGCATGCTTTTATAGAAGAGCTGTAAATAGATTTCCAGAGATACACTCTTCTCCTTTTTTTCAAATAGAACCTAAAAATGGATATAATGTTTATGAGGGTTAAAAGCGACAAAATATTGCATTACTATAAAAGTGAAATAAAGCTATTTTAACGTTATAAAAGGTTTACAACAAATCTTTTTTATTATACAATAAAAGTATGACCAAAACGACTTTTAGTACATTGCCGAATTGATACATGGCCGAAACGACCAAGGCCGAACCGGCTCCATGACCGAAACGTCTTTTTTCCGTACAATACAGAATTCAAAAATAAAAAATAAAACATCTTCTTTAGATACAGTCACTATTTCTTGTCCATCTATTAGTAAAATACTGAAAATGAAAAAAAAATATTTCCAACATTTTGCATCAGACATTGTCTCTCAATCATAAAAAGCGTCTGCCAAAGTTTTATTAAATTCAATAAAGGTTTGACAAAGTATTTGATGTGTAACAAAACTTGACCCAAGACTGTATATATATCTATTTGTTAACTATAAAGTATATTAGAAAAATCAAGGATTTATATAGTATCTTACTATACAAATCCTTGGAAAAATACAGAAAAATGATAGTGAATATTTTCAAAATTATGCTCTGGATGCTGTCTTTTGGTCATAAAAAGCTTTTGTCCAAATTTCATAAAATTCCAGAAAGGTTTTGACGAAGTTATCAATGTCCTAAAAAACTAACCATATACTGAAATTAAATGTTGACGCGGCCGACGACACCACCGACGAAGACGGAATCTAGGATCACATAGTATGTTTACTTGCCACGAGAAATATGACAGATGCCACTACTGGAGTAGTAACAAACTTCTTATCTTTCAGGAAAACATGAGTTCAGCGGTGTCTTCCTGGAATGCCTACATTGTATACAAAATCTATTCCTCGAATGCCTACAAAAAAAATTGAATATATGTTGTTTTAA